AAAAAAATACTCACTTTTTTCCCGGGGAAAACAGCAATTTCATAAAAAGTGACATTTTGTTACCTGTCAACAGAGATAAAATGTCAAACTTTTTTCCCGTTACAGAAAAAAAGATGTTTTTTACATTTTTCCATTTTTAGGTCCCTTGCGACACTTTAATTTGCGATAAAATCGATACTTTTCTTCAACTTATGAACATGGCATAAGTGAGAAATACGTCGCTGTACACATAATTTTTTTGAAAAGGAAAATTGAATTTTCACAAAGGTATCCCGCAGCCCATCTTTTAAATTGTTTATTGTACTTGTCTCTCGGTTACCTTTCAGTACTCTCAGAGGCATAAACGAGAAAGACGTCGACGAACTTCAGTCTAATATCTCCCGGTCTATTATGCCACTTTTTGGAACTCTAATCCATCCATTTTTTGACTGACACTTTTGTGAAGAAAAACTTTTTGATCTGATTTTTTTTCTATCTTTAACTGTTCTACATTTGTTGTTATTAATCACATTTTTTAGGTGTTTTTTAGGTAAAATTATAATATGGTTTCAAGTCTTATACCAGAAAATGTATAAAACAAATATAACTAAATAAATAATAATTTTAATCACTTTTTATCTCAAAATCCAAGTGTGTGCGGATCTACGTAGCTTTTTTCCTATTTATAGTTAAAAAATCACCCGTGAAATTTGGAACAGTGCATATATTACAATTCTAATTCTAATGAAATTTCTATTAGGATATTAGGGAATCTCGCTTTGTCTAGTCAACTACGTGCTGTACAAAAACCTAGTAGGTACCTATTTACAAGCGCAACAAAAAACGAAGAATTCTTATCTTTAGTATGCTTACGGGAATGAAACAGAGGTCAAATGTGGACTGTCGTATACAAGAAAATGAAAAATGGGGTACCTAAAGTCTATATTACTCACAAGTCTCATGTCGTCGATCCCATATAGAACCGCAGACAAGTTATCCTTAGCCATACCGATGCCGCGCGGTGGACAGTTGTCGCTAGTTGCACCACACTTACGAGTCTGCATGGTGCTGGAAAAATCGGCTTTATAACCGCGAACTATTACCACTGACGTAACGATATGGTGCTGATAATTTAAAAAAATTATCACTCCGCCGCCAACGGGTTCTGTCGGTGTGTGTGGTTCAGTTAATGACTCCAGAGGGTTCAATTTTGTACGAAAATTTGGCCTGACCGCATGCGCAGGTGCGGTAGTGGTGCCGAACGAAATTTTCACTGTGTCAAAGTATAGATTTGTTTTTTGACGCAAAGCTACTTTCAAAATGTTAGAACATAGTTACCTAGTATGGAGTTATGCTGTTTGCTGTTTACTGTTTCAATAAATTAGTGTGTCCATTCTTAGCGAAGATTAAACCAATTTTGTCATAATAATTCATTATTTAGCAACTTATTCGTAACAAATGTAAATCAAAAACCAAAAAGTAAGTGTGAACAATTCTTCACATCATTTGATATCAACAAAAACGTTTGTAATTTGTTTTACCAGCAGTTGAAAAAACGACGAGATATTTTATAAACACTGTCTTTTAAAAAGTTCTCTAGTTCTACGGGTTAGTAGGTCGCTCTCTGCCAGTAGGTACAAAGCAAAGTTCGTGCCAGTCACTGACCAAGTAAACTATCGTACTGATGTGTGCAAGGCAGATAAAGCTAGTGAAGGCAAATACCGGTAAAACAAATGATGGTACACGAGTACACCGGTACAAAATAACTTATTAGATTATATTATTTCCCCCCATCCATAAGATAAAATGTCTTTGTAATGCTTTAAATGTGTTACTCTTCAAATTAATTTTTAACATCAAACCGAATATAAAGAAAACGTTTTTAACTGATTGTGAAATGTGCTTATAATGTGCTTCAGCAAAAATTCTCTTCAAATAATATGTTGAACGAAGAAAGCATCGACATAGTTTCAATTCATACAGTTCTGCCACATTGCAGTAATTTTAACCGATCGAGCTTACGATATGAGGAAAATAAATGGAGAAATAGATAAAGAAGGCATTATAAAAACTATTTGGAATATTATAGCTAAAACAATTCAAATATTGTACTGTAATTAGGGCAGTAATATAATAAACTCTTTTACATACCTACACTACTGGAAAAATTTAAAGAAACAAAAAATGTGCATAAATTTTTTAGTGGTTTTTGAAAGGCTGCATCATAAAATAATAAATACCGATGCAAAATGTTTAAAACGATATGTGTAAAGAGATTCCCAATTTGCGTCACATCTACCTAAACATAGTTATACTCACTACCTATATTATAGACAAGAGGACAAGAACTAAGAAAATGGAACATGAAACTATATGTTTCGATATAATTTGAAGAACAACTACATATTCATTCATTAACTATTTGAAATATGGATAAACCAAGTGAAATAGATGTCATTTATTTTATATTTCGTACAAATGTTTATATTTGTGAATGTGTATAGGCATGCTTAAATAAAAGAGTTTAGTTATACCTACAGATATTTATTTTTTCAAGATATCCTTTTGTATCTTTATTTCTACTGTAAAATTTATTATTATTAAAAAGTTAGATGTAATATTGACTTTATATTATTTTTCAGTAAAGTTATTTGTTTTTCATGTACCTGCCATTTCAAGATTCAAAATCATAACTAACTTTTTTCAATTATCAGTTCGTCATTATTACCATATTCATGACGGTCTCAACCAGTGGCGGTTTTACCATAAGAGCTGCGGAGCTGCAGAACACATAAAATTTTATGTATTTAATCATATTAAATGTCAACAAAATATTTAAAGAATCCAAATGTACTCGCGCTAAAATAAATCTAGGAGCTTATATTATTATTTATTGCGACGCGAGCTACGCTCCTTAATATATGCAACCTCATATACACAATGTGTGGACAGCGAACAATTATATGCGTCCTTTGTTTTTATTGGCTGATCAGGCACGTGACCCAGTACACGGAGATAGGGGATTTTGCGGCTGCAATAGTCACAGCGCTGCAGTCTGCACTCTGTAGTAAATGCAGTAATATTTCGTACGTCGTACGTGGTATGTGGTGGTTTATTTCTGCGAGCGGCACGTGTGAATATTTTCGTTTAGGCATCTACGGATATTATAGTTATTAAAATGAATAGCGTTTCGTTTAAAAAAAAACTTTGGTTCTCTGCCTTATGAGGATAAACTAAAAATAAAAGAAGTAAAAGTTATAAAAAAAACAATAATGTATACACAAAAGCAGAGTGGGTGTGCGGGTGTGATTTAAAATATTCACTGTTTTGTTTTCCGTGCTTACTTTTCGGTGGGGATAAAGCATGGACAATATACAGTGTGAAAGATTTAAGTCATTACGTCTTTAGGTAAAATAAACATAAGAAGTCAGTTAGATTCTGCATATTGGGATAATATACGGAAACATATGAACAGGTAATGAAAAATCGTCATGTATTATTTAAAATCATAGATTGCATAAAATTTTGCGGAGCTTTCGAATTAGCACTTCTCGGACACGACGAGACAGAAAATTCGGACAACCCTGATGTGTTTCGTGGACTCATAAATTTTAGTGTAGATCTTGACGACATTTTAAAAGAACATCTAGCCACATTGGTATGACCGGGATTTTCTGTGATTGTACCGGGAATTAGCTGTATGGTCCCGGATTTCGGATTTGCACGTATAACTCCCGAAATATAATATAATGTACATATATATAAAAAAAGATAAAGAAAAAATCATAACACGCCGAGGAAAATTAAAATTCGTTGAATCGTTGGTAAATTTCACAAACGATTTTTTTTTATAAACAATATTCAATAATTTAATAAAATATATTTAGTTTATTCCAAATTATTATACCATCAGTAGGTAATTCGTAAATGGATATTTCAAAAAGGTATCAATTTCAAAAATCATTCTTGTGAAAATCTGTATTTTTTTTATAAATTCATTGTTCCTTGAAATTCAGAAGTGCCAGGAAAACGCGTGACCTTGAAAATTTTAAAATTTTTCGCCTGCGGCGCCATTTAGGGACTCCGGGCACTTAATATCCCGGAATTCAATTCAACAAATGTAACAACCCTAAGCAGAACACATTCAATCAATGTTCACGCGCCGCCACTGGTCTCAACATTAGAAAATTTCCATTTCAGAAGCGTATTTCAACAATATAAAATGATGTGTAGCTTTTTTAAAATGCTTCTGATATTGTTTTGTGACATTTTTATTTATACGATGAATGGCAGAATTCGTAATCTATATTAGAAATTTTTTCAGTGGCTCCTCAAAAAGAAAAAAATTCTTGGTAAAAGTTGCCGCATCCCCAAACTAGAAGAGCAGTTATTTTTTTTAATATACAATAATGTTTTTGAGTTAATTTTTTTGAGAAATCAGAAAAAGTTGTCTGGAGTCCGAATTAAGTCATTCACAATACAAATAAAAATATCACAAAAGAGTATTAGAAATATTTAAAAAATTACTCGCACTATACTGTTTCAAAAACGTTTCTGAAATGGAATTTATCTAAAATTGAGGGCATTATATTTATGAGAACAGTATGGTATAAAAATTATTGTTACTCAAGTATTTCTGAAAATATACTGAAACGTAAAACAAAAATATCGAGTGCATAAATGGAACATCAAAAGAATGTTACTGAAACCAATTTTTTGAAACATTTCATTGGAAACGTGAAATTTGGAATATTGCATGTTACAAAACTTCCTTTAATGAAATAGCATTACTTAATTTTTCTATTAAGATATTAGGTAATCCCAGTTTGTATACTCAACTATGAGTACATGCTGTATTCATACAAAAACCTGGTACCCTATTTTATATTTACAAGCACAACAAAAAAAAAACGAAGAGTTCTTGCCATTCGCATGCTTACGGTAAATGAAACTGAGGTTTAAAACGGACTGTCGCGTTAAAGGGACTGAAAAATTAGGTACCTAAAGTCTACATTACTCACCAATCTCATGTCGTTGATGCCGTACAGAACGGCGGACAAGTTATCCTTGGGAGCCATGCCGGGCGATGGAGAGCTGCCGCTAGTTGCACTACAAATATGCATGGCGCTGGAGAAATCTGCTTTATAACCGCGAACTCTGACGTAACGTTAATATTATTGATATGAATTGGTGTTGATAATAGGATTTCGGAAAATTATCTTTGTACTTATGCGCACGTTTCTCAAGAAGCTGGTCGTTGCGTCCCCAAGGGGTTTTGTCGATGGTGTGTTTAGTTCATGGTTGCAGAGGGTTGGATTTTGTACAGGAATTTGAAGTGACCGCAGGTGCGGCGGTGGTGCCGAACGAATTTTTTGACTTTGTCAAAGTATAGAATTGTTTTTTGACGCAAAGCTACTTTCAAAATGTTCATAGAACACTTAGAACAGTGAGGGGCGCATCTAGGATGCTATGAAATCAAGAACGTCGCCATAAGACTATTCTACGTTTCCCAAATTTGAAAAAAATATCTATCGATCATTAAAGGAGAAATAGTTGTGTCATTAACTGAAAATTGTTGTTGCTATTAATCATTATTTGCAGTTCTTATGTTTAACTCTTTTACTACACAAAACCCTTCAACCAAAAATTAGAGACTTTCAACAATACTTTTCTTGTTACTCCACTTTTGGTTTTATGGCATTCTAGAAGCACACACGACACACGAAAATTTTATTTTGCATTTTTTAAAAGTTTATCGGTACCTATACAGGGTGTTAAAAAAAGAGTGTAATATATTTCAGGAGGTAATAGTATGAACCAAAATAAGCAGAAAAGTCTTAATAAACATGGGTCCGCAAAGTAACAGTTGCGGAGATATGGACCACTATTCGTTTTTCAAACATTTTATATTATTAGGAATAAACCGACAAAGGAAGCTTTTAACAAACAAAAAACAAAGTTACAGAAGATGTTCAAAGTGCCCTCCGTCCATTTCCAAGCAGGCACGACATTCACAACGATATTCGAACTCTTTCGAAAACACCCTCCTTGGTTTGGATTTCTTGACACTTTTGATTAATCCGTAGCTACAGCTCTTCCAGGCTATTTACAGCAGTACCATACACTAATGTCTTCAAATATCCCCAAACAAAGAAATCTAGAGGGTTCAGATCAGGCGATCTTGGAGGCCATAAAACAGGTCCGGCCCTTCCTACCCATCTACGTGGAAAAGTTTGGTGTAAATGCTCTCTAACGGCCATGGAAAAATGAGCTGGAGCACCATCATGCTGGAACCACATTTGTTGCCTCTGATTCAAAGGAATGTCTTCCAAAAACTCATACAGTGTGTTCTGCAGAAAGTTGAGGTAAGCAGCGCCTGTTAATCGGTTTGGTAAAACAACAGGACCTAGAAACCTGTCACCTACAATACCCATCCAAATGTTTAATGAAAAACGTGCCTGATGTCCAGATTCTATTAGAGCATGAGGATTTTCGTCGGCCCAAATATGCGTAGGTATTGTAAAAATTAAACACTCCATTTCTTGTGAACCCGGCCTCATCAGTAAAACGAATGTTTGCAAGAAAACGAGGGTTTTCAGCATCATGACGTAGAAACCAGCGGCAAAAAAACAAACGTGCTTGATGATCATTTATTGGATTTAAGGTCTGTACTCGTTGCACATGGTATGGATAAAGCAGTTGCTCGTGAAGGATTCTCCAAACAAGAGGACCACTAATTCCTACCTCGGCTGATATTCTCCGCACACTCGTACCTGGATTCTGCTCTACCAGTGCTAGAATTTCTTCTTCTGCTCTAGGAGTGGATACCGACCTTGGTCTTACGGATAAATGGCACTGTTTGCTCAAGGAACCGGTATCACGCAATCTTTGGTGAATTCTTCGAAACATGCGTTGTGAAGGAATCTGGCGCTTCGGTGGCGTTCCCATTAGCACGACCATACATGAAATGCATGTCTGTTAATTCTGCGTTAGAGTAACCAGCCATAGCGAAAGAAAACTTGTGCACTGAGAACAACTGTCAAATACGTACTGTTTATTTCACTAAATATCAACCAACTATTATAAGAAAATACACAACGTTTTTGCAAAATAAAAAAAGGGGCTAAAAAACATAAAACATTCCATATCTCCGCAACCGTTACTTTGCTTTGACCCATGTTTATTGAGACTGTTCGGCTTATTTTGGTTCATACTATTACCTCCTTAAATATTTTACACTCTTTTTTTAACACCCTGTACAGAAAAATAGGCAATAAATGTTCTTTAGGTATTCATATTTTTCTGAAAAATTCACCCATATAAAAAATCGTAGCAGTCCATGTGTTCGTGGTAATGGGAAACTAATAATTGCCAAGTGATGACCTTTCAGAACTCTAAAAAAATAGTCCCACTCGATTCCGCCAGACTACTTACGTTTAAGAGAGTGTTAATACAAAAAAACAGACATACTGTATATGCATAAAAGGGCTGTAAGACCTTTAACTTCAGGCGCCTCTGTATTTGAGGGTGGTAACTGAATATCTTCAACAAATGGAATCTGCATCTTTAAAAAGAAATTACATCAGACAAACACTAAAAGGATTATAGAACTGTTAAGTTGAACATACTGTACAAAGAACATTTTTTTTAAATATATTTTAAAATATCATTATCAAAATCAAGTAAATACTCCAAAAGTAGTGTTTCAAATGTAATTAGAATTTGTATGGATATTTGGCAAGATTTCCCCATTACAAATATTACTCCAATCGAATTAGAGTTTGAACGTAAAAAAAAGTAACTCGAAAGAAGTGACGTTAGGCTGGCAAATTCCAAATAATTGGCAAAATTACGTATATATTCACTTTTTTTACTGCCCACGAAAAACTAGTCGGCTTATCGGAAAATTAGTCATTTTATGTTGCAGGTATCTAAAGCTGTAGAATAAAGGTTGAACGCAGAAATCAGTTTTCGGAAATTACGCATTATTGTTGCAAAAAGCGATGGATGTTGATGAAATTTATGGAACAAACGGTCAATCCAAAGACCAACATGTATGCCGAAGGCGATCGTGAAATTGTTGCTCAAGATATTTGATAATTAATTTCGATCATTTTCTTGTTGTTGTTGTTTAATTACTAAACGTTAATCTAAAGAAACGTATCGAAAAAGAAATATTTTAAAAAGTTGAAATTAAGTTGCCCTTTACAACTAACAAAGTAGTATAGTGCCGGCCCTTTGAAAGTGGACGACTCTTATAAGCAAATTGTCTATAACTGGCCTTTGTGAAGCTGACTTGAAAATATGAGTTCAAATCGGCTGTCACTATGTCAATAGGGCCGGTACTTTCAGTCTAGATTAGATAAATATAAACCTCGGTTAAACTTTAACCCTTCGTTTTGGTTACTTTCAAATACTGTCAACCATTAACCAGGAGTTAAAGTGGGTGTGTCCGTATTTAAATTTAATCGGAGCATCTATCCGCGATTACCGCCTGATTAACGTGGTTTTGATACTTTTGACATAACTGACGTTTTTAAAAATAATGGATTTGAATGAATTGGAGGAGCTATTCGATGATAACGATGAAGAAATGATAAACTACGTGAATAATTTGCGTACATATGAAGTAAAAACACGCATAAACCATTTTGAAAAGTGTACAGAAGAACAATTTTTTAATAGATTTCGGTTTATCAAAAACACTGTCAGGACAATCTTGCTTCCACTACCTTAAGTTATTTATATTTGCTATTTTTCTTGTTAATTAAACCATTAGATGTATAATAAATATGTGTTTCTGTTTTTGTTTTATAAGTATTACTTTGTGGTTATCCAATCACTGTTATACATATTGTCTATGAAATAAGACGTCAATTTGAAAAATTTATTTACCAAAAGTTAAATATGAATCTTATACCAGATTCGGTTTTAAAACGGCTAATAATAACATGATGTAACCCTTAACATTACTCTATTATAATTTACTTATCGCAAAAGTAACACGTGATTTGTGTATAATTTATTATTAATGAGAATTAAGATAGCCCCAAACTTTGTTTAAGTTTCATATTCAGTACGTAGTACGTCTTTCCTACTATCCTAATTCAAACCCAGTTTACCTAACCTAGTGTTTGAAAAAACCGTAAAGTACCCAATATCCTTTAAACTTGAGTTAGTTTACTGGGATTAATTTATAGATCGATTAGTTAACGGTGTATTTAATCTAGACTGAAAGTACCGGCCCTTTAAAGAAAGTGTACAACTTTTATTTTCAGAAAGTTTTACATTGACAGTTCATGTCCATAAACGCAACAGTAAAAGTTAATGAACGCCTGCACGCAAGAGAAGGAGCGCCGGGCCCGCGCATGCTCGTGAACGTCGCTCTCGTCGCACGCGAGATTTTTGCCTTAAAAATTTCAAATTCGGTGGGAAGTAAAAAAGTGAAAAGACACATTTTGACACTTATTTGCAATTTGCCAACTTAACGTCACTTCTTTCGAGTTACTTTTTTGATATCATCAATGTATACTAATAATTTTTTCAAGTATTCAAATTTTATGATCTAATTCGACTGGAGCATATTGTCATAGTTATAATTTCAGATTCACTTCAACAAACAGATAAGCAAGTATAAAATCTATTTTCATTGTCGAAATATCTCAGAATAAGTAAATAGTATATTCCCCTTACGATGGTATTATTAACCTTACCAGTGATAATTCAAATATATTTTAATCTTCTTAATGATATTGTATCATAAATAAATAATCATAAACCTTGGAATAGGAAAATTCTCAACCGTGGTGCAGTGATATACTATTATCACAAATATATTGTTTTGGTCTTTTTTACAGAAAGATTGTTATATTTCTCATTTTTTTACGCAGTCGCAGTAATTTTTCATTTCACCTACCTTAGTTACAATATCTAGTTTAATTTGACAAATCCGTGCTGCAAACAGTTTATTCTTCACTGAAGTTAGATTTAACATTGATGTACTTAATAACTTATCGGGAAAATAGGAGTGCCTCTACTATAAAGAATGAAATTCGCAACATAACTACACAGAACATATGAGGTTTAAATGAGAATTTGTCCTTATTATACAAGAAAAAATGAAG